CTGACTCCTCCCACCTCTTGGCACAGCACACACAGTAGGCGCTCTAGCAATATTGATGGATGGGGTAGTCGGTCAAAGGTTGAGTGGCCAATGGAGGGAGTGGCAGTTAAGGACGTGGGGTGCCCACTCTTAAATGCCAGGTAGATTTTTGTTTGATTTGGGGGAGGTGTGAAGAAGTTTAAGCAGGTTGTTTCCCTGAAGGCTTCGTGACAAAGTCAGGCTGTTCTCTCTAGAGCAACCCTAATCATAGTGGTTAGCAGTGCGGTTAGGCTGTTTGTTTCCTGCCCAGAATGAGTAGCAGACACGGTGGTGGTGGGGACACTTAGAATCACTCAAATGCGATGAGGAAGACACTGGTTTGCATCGTGCATCATGTGTGTCTTTTCTACAGAAGTTAAATTCATCATATTTTACAAAGGTTCCCAGGAAACTGGGAGTTAGAAATAGGGGCAGAGCTAGGGCTGTGGGTCAGTTACTACGGTGCTTGCTCAGCATGCTCGAAGTTCTGGGTTCAGTTCCCAGCACCACATAAGGCCAGATGTGATAGCCCACATCTCAGTTTCAGCACTGTGAGAGGCAGGAGGATCAGAAGTTCATTTTCTGTGGTGTAGCAAGTTTGAGGCTAACCTCTGAGTCATGAAACCTGGGGTTGTCTGAGGGACAGAAAAGGGCAAGAAAGAGATGAAGAGGAAGGGAGGAGAGAAAAGAGGAAAGAAAGGGAGAGAGGGAAAAAGAAGAAAATGCTAGCTAGCACTATGGTTCCAGTCCCAGGAGTCCCAGCACTGTGGTGTGCATAGGAGAGCCTCTCCCAGGAGCTGCTGTGGTTGGAAGCTTCGCCCAAGCCCTCGCTGGCTCCCAGACATAGCTCACTACCGCAGAGCAGTGGGGTTGAGGTAAGCCTGTCGGGTTGCTGGGGTACGGAGCATGCTGGGGCAGTGGAACAGACCCTGGGACATCCTCCTCTGGCTTCCCTGAGACTGCAGTCTCTGAATCAGGGACCTTGGCCAGGAGGTGACTGCTGGGTCACCCCCTTCCCCACCTCTCTGAGGACGGATGGCAGCAGGACTCTTCTAACTGCTTTTTCCTGAGAGCTATAAGGAAACACCCGTTTGGCATTTTTGATCCAGAAACCTCTGGGTCCACATGTGACCTCAGTAAGAACTGAGAATGAATGCTGATTGTCTGAAATTCTTTACATTGAGGTTTTGCTGTTGCTTCTGGGCTTTTCATAAATTGATAAGTACATTTTTTAAAGCTGTATGTACAAGATGTTCACTGGATACTAAAAAAAAAATCTGGAAATAGCAGAACCATGTAAGTGTGATGGCCCTATGAGGCAGTTATTTTAAATTACGTTTAAGTTTTACTAATAGCTTCCTAATATTTTAGTATGTATTATTTATAATTTACACATATGCCCTCTTATTTATGTTGATATATGTGTGCCTGTGCTGCACAGCATTAAGGATCTCAAAATATGACCAGCCCCCAATTAATAGCTCACTAGCGTATCTACTCATTAAATATTTATTGTTTGCCTAAAAAGCAACAAAGCAATAAAAACAATTATACTCAGAGGCTTCAAAGAAGAGTAGTGTTGGCTAATGCTAGGCCCTTACAGATGTTTTCAGCTGTCTTCCCTACCATCTATCCCTCCTTCCTGGTAGCATCTACTGTACCCTCTTCCTCTTTCCCCTTCAGTTTCTGCTGTGGATGGAGCTGGCTGTATCCCATGCTACAGGGGTAGACATGTGTGGTCCAGGTTGGCCACTTAGCGCATTGGGCAAACTTCCAGGGTTGGATTCAGGATGAGTATGTGCTGCTCTTGTCAGTCTACTTCTTTGTGTAGTCAGACAAACAAGAGGGTATCCTGTTCACTGAGCTTGGAGCTATTGGCAGACATAATGAGCAAAGACAAAGAGAGGCTAGCATCCAAGTTAACTCAGCAGAAGCCAGGTCCTGAGGATACGGCTCAGCCTTCTGGACTCATTTGCGTCTGAAGCAAATTGGGCTATAGATGATAAATAAAATTAATTTTTAAAACCTTTTTTGTAAGATTTAGACTGGGATTTTTATCACTTTCCCATACCTCCTTGGGATTGTACATAGGCCCTGAGCATGGTTGGCAAGTGCTCCACCTCTGAGCTGTACCCCCTGCACCCTACTCCCACTATTCTTTGAATACTGAGACAGGAGCTTGCTAAATTACCTGGTCTGGATTTGAACTTGCTCTATAGACCAGACAGGTCTTGAACACAGAATCCTCCTATCTCACCCTCCCCGGTGGTCTAGAGCACAGGCCCCTATGAAGAGACCCGGTAGTTTTTGCCACTGTATTAGCACAGCAGTCTAGGCATGGCACCTCCATTTAGTATTTCAACTTTAAGCCTCGTCCTGTAACGCATTTCTGTCAGTCTCTTTCTAAAGGGCGTTAGATGCCACCCACCATTCTCCTGATGACTTGGGGGGGGGCACACTGGGCAGGTCCTCTGCTGGTCCTTCTCTAGAGGGGCGGAGGGGCATTGTTGCTAGTGACATCTTTGGCTTTTCTGGTTTTGTTTTGTGTGTATGCCTGTGTGAACATGTGCGTGTATGTGCGTGTGTGCATTTGTCTTTGTGTGTGTGTGTCTGTCTGTCTGTCTGTCTGTGTGTTTTACTCTCTACCCTGCCTCCTACTCTAAGGAGCAGGCTCTTGCTCCCTCCCTCACTTGAAGCCTCTGGTTCACAGTGAGATGGGAGAGCATTTGGTCCATTAAATGAAATCAAATGCCCTCGTGTGAGCTGAGAGGCTCTGGGTGGATAAACCACACCGGCTTTCTTTATTTTGGCCGCCCCAAGGTTTTCTGCTTTGTATTTGCTTCTTCTGGTTCTTCATTTCTCTGGATAGATAGGGGTCCTGGTGTTTCTATTGTTTGAAATCTTTTTACTATAACAAGATGTTCACACTGAAGGACTATGGTGGGGGGGGAGGTTGGGCTAGTGCCGAAATGTTTTATAATTTAGAGAATTATTCCCTTATTTTCAAAGAAGGGACAGTAACCCATCCTAGTATTCTGAGCCTCCCGCTGACCCATAACTCACCCTTTTTTTTCCAAAACCTCTCCCTTATTTTGCAGCCTCTTCCAGCCCACAGTGTTTTGCAAAGGTGTGGGGCGTGTTTGCATTAAAAGGAGCCATTCATTTAAGGAAGATGCAGAGATGATCTCGACAAACCTGGGCCTCCTGTTTCTCAGCGCCTGCTAAATCTGCACACCACGACAAACACCGGGGCCATTAGCCTCAGAAGCACAGGCTGGGGTATTGGGCAAACAGGCCTGAGGGCACACAGCATGCAACCTTGCTGGCTTGTGTGAACACCCAGTGGGGCTGAGCTCACATGAAGACAATGGTGTTTAGGGGAGAGAATGTCCCTGCATCTGGTTTAGACATTACTAGGAAAATGGCAGCTCAGGAGATTTAGCTTGTGAATAAGCACAAGCTGTTTTCCAAAGCGGCAATTTATTTTTATTTTATTTTCCCCCTTTTCCTTTTTCTTGGTGTGGAGTTATTCAACAGAGAGGATACCTCATCACAAACCATTCTTCAGAGTCTGGAACCAAGACAGCAGCACCCAGTCGTCGACAGACCCTGGCTTTTGAAAGTTAGGACTAGGTTGCTGGGGAATAAGTCAGGCAGGGGAAGAGAGAACCCCAGACGGTCCCTCGCAGTCTCTGGAGATGAACCATGGGCCCTCTGGGTCCCTTCTGGCTCTCCATCAACTCTACCCAAACCCTTGCCCAACGCAATGATTCCAGAAGCGGTCTGAGAAATTGTAGTGAGTGTCAGAGGCTGGTCACAGACTGTCCCCAGGGCCCTGGCCTCCTGGCTGTGCTGTCATCCAAGGGACAACCGAGAACAAATGAGAGCAGCCGCTTTTGGAGTGTCCAGATTATTTAACACCATCTCAGACAGAGCTGAGGAGTCTGTCCCCTCAGGTGCAGATATCAAAGTCCTCACTCCAAGCCCTTCAGAATGCGACTGTTGTCTGGAGGTGATTAAGATAAAACAGGTTCTTTGGGTGGGTCCTAATTCAGCAGGATTGTCCTCTAAGAAGAGACAGTGAGGCACACACGACGGAAGACTGTGTGAGGACACTGGGAAGGAGGACATTGACAAGCCACAGGGAGAGAGAGGTTGCAGAATAGACCAGTCTGCCAGCACCTTAGCCAGAATTCCTGGCCTCAGAACTCTGAGGGAAAAGATTCATGTCGCTTAAATCAGAGTTGTTCTGATCTCATTAGAGGACCCCAGGACACGACCACACAGGACCCTAGCACACGACCACGCAGAACCCCGGCACACGACCACATAGGACCCCAGCACACATCAACATTGGGCACCGGCACATGACCACACGGGACCCCAGCACACGACCCCAGCAACTGCACAGTGAATGTGTGCAGAAAATGAAGTCACAACCCAGGGCCCAGGCCTCCTTCTGTGAAATGACCCAGGTATACCTACAAGAAGGCAAAAAGGAACACTAGGGACGTGGCCCACTAGCTTCCCAGCACCCTGGCAAAAAGCTGGGTGTGGTGACATGCTCTCATGATCC